CCGGCCCTGCATGTTAATAGCAGGATAGATTGGATAGATCTTTCATGTCGTAGTGATATGTTAACGTGTGCTGTTTCTTTATTTCCCGATAAAATGAATAGCGTATTCGAGACCAGGTAGTTAGGGTGCTCGACTCGCAATCTGAGGGTCGCGTGTTCGAATCCCCGTCCCACCAAACATGTTCGCCCTTTCAGCCGTGGGGGCGTTATAATGTGACGGTCAATCCCACTATTCGTTGGTAAAAGAGTAGCCCAAGAGTTGGCGGTGGGTGGTGATGACTAGCTGCCTTCCCTCTAGTTTTACACTGTTAAATTAGGGACGGCTAGCGCAGATAGCCCTCGTGTAGCTTTGCGCGAAATTCAAAAACAAACAAACAAACAAATCAACAAAAACCGCTCAAATTTGACAAAAGTTTTTGCGCACGCCTACACAAAAATGTCACGTGAGCCATCGATCTGAAAGTTTTACTACAGTTTCAGATAAGAGTAAAAGTGGTCCGTTTTTAGTTTTTCTGTCATTCGAATTAAAGACGGATGATTTAGAGTAGCAAAACTATAGAGTCCAACGCTGAATCCTTTTTTGGCGCACCTTTTTATTTTTTCACACCTTAGGTGTTTTTCATTATATATATATATTGTAATTTATTTCAGGTGCTAGAGACACATTTAATACATCATAACTAACTGGTTTCCTCAACATTATGGGCTTAGATATTAATTCGACAACTAGTAGGAAATACCACGCAATATTAAAAATTATTAACACATCGAAACTACGACGTAGGGAAAGCTACAATAGATTGTTGTTTTTATTTGTGTTCAATCAGGTTAACTAAAAAAAAAGGAAAAAAGAAACCACCAACGTTCAAGCTAAGCAATGAAGTCTGAAAGTAAAAAAAAAAAAAACAGGCAAAAAATAATTAAACTAAAGCTGGTTTCAACCAAGACTTTAGATAATCATAACTCAGATGGCTGGATGAGTTTCGTTGTGGATAAAAATACTTTAGTAGTATTTGCAGAATAAAAAAAAAATAGATAATAATAATTACAGTTCACATAATCTAGTTCACATCGTAACAGTTGTTGGTCATGAAATTGATGATGTACATAACACCTAGACCACCACTACTATTTCTGTCTTATTTTAGCCGGCCTGATGATACCTGGTATTGGGCCAAAGGCTTCTTCGACACTGGATATAGCACCTGTAGCCTAGTTGACATATTGCTACAAATTCTTCTATAATTTCACTCACAATTTCTTAGAATTACTGATGTAGTTTTCTCTGGTTGATGTTGTGGTAGCATGGTCCGCTTCGGAAAGAGAAGATTACCTTGCTAGTTCTTCATTTGTTTCTGAATGACAGTAAAGTTCATTGAAATAAAACAATGATGATAATAAATATGCAATATTAAAAATAAAATAATAAATAATAATAAATATGCAATGTTAAAGATAAAATAATAAATAATAATAAATATGCAATGTTAAAAATAAAATAATAAATAATAATGTGTAATTGATCATGATTCTAATTAAATTTTTGATAACTGCAACTCACTTACTTAATCCAGTTTACTCCATAACAGTTGTTCTTCCTGAAACTGATGGTATAAGTAGAGCCTGGGCCACTATCATGTTTGTCGTATTCCAACCGGCCTGATGAGCGTGGATGTTGGACGAAAGGCCTCGACAGCACTGGATTTGATAGATATAGTATGTATGACGTATTATTAAATATTTTTATTTGCTTTCATTCATAAGTTCTCAGAATTGTATTCAATAACATACACGTGGTTGACCATACACACACATACATAATTGAATACATTGTTATATATACAATCCATTTCTATATAAAGCAGAACATATACAGCGATAAATAAAGAATTGCCTAGTTTTTACAAAGACATTATTAAACTTAACATGGGGAATTTGATTCCGGCTCAAAATCTTTTGCCTTTATGCTAATAAAGTAATGAACGAGATAAATTCGTGTTTTAAACTTAACTGCTCTTTTCAGTAATTACTTGTCTTTAATTTGAGTTTATATTAGTGTTAAAACAAAATCTATCTGTGTCTTAACAACAGATATTTTATTGATTTCGTAGATTTCATAAAGTTAAGTAAAAATTTCAACTGTGAAAGTACAATAGTGTAATACAGGTCACAAAAGTATACCTAAAGTTAATAATGGCTGGAGACGGCTTAAATGGGTAATGAAGAAAAACTTTAATATAAGTTTAACATGACAGCAAATGTACAACGTTTCGACAAGGTTTTGTCATCATCCTAAGGTTAATTGCACTCTATAAAAACCATGTTCTAGGCTCATTGCTGTTCTTTAATCATTATTTTCCGTTACCGATCGTACTCAGTTTTGTGGCCATGATTACATCTTATTCTGCAAAAGAGGGCGTGGTCAATTTTAGATCAAATATTTTGAATTTTTTTCTGTAAATCCCACCTTACGTGGACGTCAACTTCCAATATATAAAACGACCAAAGGCACAAATGGCCAATACAATTGCCTCAGTAGACTTAACAAATACGCGTGATTGGCTGGGATTGTTATGATTCCAGTTTATTCGGCATTCTTTCTGAAGGATCTAGTCGTTGATTTCTAGATGTAGCTGTAAGTTCGTAAATTTGAATTTTACTTAACTTTCAAATTCCTGTTTATTATTTTGTTAACGGTACTGGAAGATATGCCCTGCTTCATCACAGTGGTTTCTAGTTCGGAGGGTTCTCGTTCTTAATCATAGCCTTCATTTTGTTGAGGAGCGTGACTCTCCAAATTGGCTTGTTATATAGTTTCGGAGTTTATTGCTGTACTAATCGCTTAACAGTGTGAGTTTTCCCGTCTTTTCCTGGAGAACATTGAATACAACTTTCTATAAAATGCTCTGTCCTGTGGTTCCACATATCTTAGCAGTCTCGCTAAAAGAGTATACTTCCTAAAAAGGTTTGAAGTATGAAGTTAAGCACAAAGCTACACAATGGGCTATTTGTGCTCTGCCCACTACGGATATCGAAACCCGATTTCTAGCGTTTTAATTCTGCAGACATACCGCTGTGCCACTGGGGGGGGGGCTCCTAAAAAGGCTGTGAATTACTTTTCAAATTATAAGTGTACAATGACAGTATTGCTCTGTCGAATCACTGGAAATTCAACTTAAACTAAAATACGTAAGTACTAAATATGTCATTGTACGTCTCTCCATTAGCATGTGTCATTGTTTCTTAGAAAGTACGATTAACCTCTGTACCTTCAATTTCACTTATATTTGAATAATGATTTTGTTTTGTTGACAATGATTCGCGTAATTTATTTGTTATAATAAAAGCATCAAGTGCACTGACAAATCTTTAACAGATAAGCAACGCTGTGATAAGACAAATTGCTGATTGGTTGCTTACTTGAACATACGTTAATTTACGTGTTTATTTTAATTTGTGTGATATGATACAACGTGTACATTGGATTAGGTGTCAACTGGAAGTGTCCAAATTAAATAAATAGTCCTAGAAATCCAAATATTCAAGTAATCTCCTGAGATGAGCGCAGTAATAAGAGAAATTGCGTATTTTCTCAATAGATCTTTTTAGCACTTACTTGAACATAATATGTTTACCCGCGTATTTATTTTCATCTGTATATAGAAATTGTAAGTAAAATTAGAAGTCAACTGAAACTAAAGAAAATAAATATGGAGTTCTAGAAATCTAACAAGCCAATGGAAGGAAACCATATAAGGAGAATAAGTAAAAGGAGCAAAAAAATAACAAAAGGCGGATTTATCTTTTTACCAAGTACTATTATTATTATCATTACTAGGTGTTTATAATCGATAGAGATGAATTCGAGTTGAGTAAGGTAAGTACAGATGGGAACGACATCTTAAAAGATGATAATAACAGCTTGTCGGCAAAAATACAGGTAGACAGGCGTGACTTGGGCGAAAGAAGGTGTGTAAAACGGCCATGTTTGGGAGATAAAAAAAACAATTGGAAGGGGTGTCTGTAGTGAGATACTTTGAATTCTCCTCTATATGATGAATCGTGATTAATTATTAGTTACGTGAAGTACAAGCGTGTGATATGCAAATTTATAAAACTTTATCTTTGGCTGAGGTGACCAGATTCATTACCAATGTGCATAATTAGGGCACTCGTTAATTACCAAAGTAGCCTTTTATCTTTGTTTTTCTGACAAAAACATGTGGTCACAGCTGCTGAATTTTCAAGTCAGCAAAACAGACGTGACAATACTTGCAGGAAAAATTGACTATAGAAAGAAATAAACACCTGTGTTAGAGTTATTTAATTCGGATCTTTTTTCATTTACTCCAGCTTTCTTAAGGAATATCGTGATTTAACGTCAAAAAGGTATAAGCTGTGATACATCATTTTTGACACACTAATGATAGGGTAATCTCCCATCACTATCCCAGCCTCAGATGGAAAGCAAGAACGCCGAGATATTTTTGATGAACCATGAAATAGAACATTCTAGAAGATATTCTAAATACAGTTAAATTGGTTTTGTATCTTAGAAATGGCTATTTCGCATCTACGTGGTACGTCCGTTATCATTATAATATACTTGAGAAAGTCCAAACAGTTAGCCATTTTATGTATAATTTATACTAGCATATGATTATTCTGTAATTTAGTTATATAAAATTATTGATTTTTTTAAATATAAGAACGTATTCATTCCTATTTACATTTTTTTCGTCTTATTTCTGGGTATCATTTTCATGTTTTTTTAGATGTTTACCAAAATTGAAACTTTTTTTCGGAGCAACTCGCATTGAAATTTGGGTGATTGTAACTGTATGTAAAAGTTGCTAATAGATGGCACTATACGCTGCATGAAGTATCTTTCAGGTTTATAGCCGATAGGTTGATGCGCGTGGGTAAAGAACTGGTGACGTGCATTCAGGGTCGTAAAAAGCCGTCTGCTGCACGAGGTGGGCGCCCAGTTCGTGGTTGGTTGACCGGCGGATGGAACTAACTCGCGAGATTTTCAGTTTAGTGAATATAATACATCCACAATTGTCCGAATGACTGCGATTACAAAATATGGACAGTTAGTGCTCTAATACATATATCAAGAAAGAAAAGAAAAGCCCCTAAAAGTTCGTGGTCGTTGAATTTTTGGAAAGGTAGTCAATGATATTTCAATTATATGTGCTCGATTCTCTACATTACAATCCCTTATAACATGAAAGATTATATACTGTATTTTTGAAGATACAGGGGGAGTTTTCTTAAAGTGAGCTCAACATTCCTTATAGAAATAGAGGGCTATCCGAGAAGCACAATATCTACCAGAAGTGTCGATTTGTGAGCAGAAGTTTCAGAGACACTGTCCGTTTTTGTGTCTTGACTGTGACTCTGTATGTATAACCAGTATCTTATCTCTACTGTAGCAGAAGCGAAATTCTCTTGTTGTGAAAGTGTTCGAAAAGCATGTAGTTATATTCTTAAAGGAAGTTTGAATATAACGAACAAGGAAGCGTGAGATCTAAAACTGTAAGTCTCTTTTGTATCTTTAACTCATTGAAATACTACGTGTTAGATACATAGCCGTCTCTATCCGTAAACAATCATAGGTATAACATGACAAGTGCATATGTATGTGTATCCAAACGTAATGTGTCTATAATCGACTTATCTGTTAACAAGCTATAAACCAATAGAAATGTTTACTACGTGTTGTACGACTGGAAACTTCAACTACTGACAGGTTAAAGGCCGATGGAAATATTCAATACGTGTTATACGGTCTGAAACTTCAACTACTGACACGTGAAAGGCCAATAGAAATGTTTAATACGTGTTATACGGCTTGCAACTTCAACTACTGACAGGTTAAAAGCTAATAGAAATATTTAGTACGTGTTATATGGCTTGAAACTTCAACTACTGACAGGTTAAAGGCCAATAGAAATATTCAATACGTGTTATACGACCTGAAACTTCAACTACTGACAGGTTAAAAGCCAATAGAAATACTTAGTACGTGTAATACGACCAGCAACTTCAACTACTGACAGGTTAAAGACCAATAGAAATGTTTACTACGTGTTATACGGCCTGAAACTTCAACTATTGACAGGTTAAAGGCCAACAGAAGACTTCACCGTATTTTACTTTGTTTCATGCCCTACTGTTGACCAATTTTAAGCCAATAGAAATATTCAATAAATGTCATATAAATCTATTCCAATCATTGGTAAATTTTCACTGTTGAAGAAAAAGAAGCATTTTGAGTTTGAATCTACAATTAGAATAACCTGATATTAAGTTGCAAGAAACGTTATTATAAGACTACTAGACAGAATGCTCAGTTTTGGATACTGTAAAACTTCAATAAACAGGACCTTAAATCCAGAGCGCAAACGGCGTGTGAGGCCACCATATGATTAGTTGCGATAAGGGTTACGCCAACTTACTACTTCTAATTAGATTTGTTTGTGAAATAAACCCGTATGATAAAATGATATCATTTGATGTTATCAATTTCTATCAAGAAATAATCAACAAATCCGATCCGAGTTTTCGTTTTATCCAATTCCTCCAGGTTATACTAGTTTCGAAGAAGACATTTTGAGATGTTCTAAGTCCTTAACCTTTTATATTTCTCTCAAACTTGGTTAAACGAATTATTAGCAATTATTACTGTGAGAAATGTCCTATTATTCGTAGAATAATGAGTTATTTCTTATATTAGTAGAATATATGATGATTGAAAGATTGCGGGATCACCTTTCATACAAAAATATTAAACGTCTGTGAAATAGAACACTGAAATAAGTTGTCTAACATCATAGATAAGAATTCATGACTGTCATTCCTGATAAATCTGATAAACATGGTATGACGATTATGGTTTAAACGCCGAAAAGTGGCGAAATGTTGGAAAAAATCAATAAGCCTAAAACTTTTAGAAAAATGAGTTAACTGCAAATGTTTTTTTTGTTTTTTTCACATTCTTCTTAATTTGCCCATTGCGGCTCGATATCAGAGGTGTGTGATAAATAGCGTTTGAGGCTTATCTTTTGATAGATACTGCAAAAATAAATAGCATTTCAGGCCTATCTTTTGACAGATACTGCAAAAATAGCGTTTCAGGCCTATCTTTTGATAGATACTGCAAAAATAAATAGCGTTTCAGGCCTATCTTTGGATAGATACTGCAAAAATAAATAGCATTTCAGGCCTATCTTTTGATAGATACTGCAAAAATACATAGCGTTTCAGGCCTATCTTTTGATAGATACTGCAAAAATAAATAGCGTTTCAAGAAATAATCTGTATATCGTCGCACCACCCAACTTATGATTTCTGGTGTTGAACAAAAATTTTATCGCGCAGTGAGTTGTAAGCGTTTGTTTGTTTGTAATTAAGCACAAAGCTACACAATGGGCTCTCTGTGCTCTGCCCACCACGGGTATCGAAACCCGGATTCTAGCGTTGTAAGTCCGTAGACACGCCGCTGTGTTACTGGGGGGGGGCGACTTATAAGTGACAATAGATAGATCTGAAATGCTACTTATTACATTCCTCTGATTTCGAGCTGCAGTGAACAAATGACGAGAAATGTGAAAAAATATTTGTAGATAACTTGTTTTTACAACACGTTATTGTACGACGATTCTTTGTTGAAATGTTAGCTCAATGAATTAATTTTCTATAGCTCTTGAAATGTTTGTACTTTTACAAAACTTATAATCCAAACAATATTTAAGAAGGATTATTGTTTTGTGAAATTCACACACACACACAAAAACGAGAATAATACATCACCAAAACAATTCACAAATTATTAAAGAATTAGCAAAAAGAAGAAACATATAAAAATCTGACTAGTTTCGCAGACCAAACTTGTCGTCCTCGACGGATGGAGTAAAACTGTTCTTAGATTACCTGTGTGTGTGTGTGAATTTCACAAAACAATAATCCTTCTTAAATATTGTTTGGATTATAAGTTTTGTAAAAGTACAAACATTTCAAGAGCTATAGAAAATTAATTCATTGAG